TGTGTGGGTCAGGGGTGCAGGGCCCCCAAGAAAGTGGACAAACCATGAATATCTCTCGGGAGCAGGGGGGGGGAAGGGGAAGTGACTATCTCTAGGGAACTATGCACTCTGTTTGGAATCACCATACTCTTTGTCTCAGCACTAGCCAACCTCGCTCACATCTGTTGGCTCACAGTGGGCACCAAGACTCTAGAGGTATTTGTGGTTTTTCCACTTTTGTGTGGATCCTGCACTCCTAACCCCTGTGAATATAGTTTTGCTATTTTCCACGGTTTCAGGCATCTGCTTCGGGGCTTGGTACCTATCCTGCATGGCTATGGGGAACCTGCTGTATTGTCAAGTAATGAATATACATGTGTGAACAAGGCCATAGAATGCCAGCAACCAGTGTCCCGGGTCTTCCGAAGTGTACCTCCAACATCTTCACTGCCTGGTGCATTTCAGTGACACAGGCCCTCTGCACTGAGCTCAACACTTCAGGCATAATCATGTAAGAAGGTACATACCTGCTTGGAGGCTGCTTGCAGAGTCTGAGACTTCCTTGATTGCAGAATTCATGTGCTCCTACCTTTTGGATTAAGGAACTTTTTTCACCTAGAACAAGAGGCTGCATTGATAACTTTTCCCTGAGGAACATACGTGATTGTTAGAAGAAGAAGCGCGCGGGGGGGTGGGGGAGGGACTTAACTATTCAGTTAGGATAGTAGTGGAGTTCAGACCAGGCAAGCGGTTTGTTATGTAATTCCCTTCTCCCTCATAGCGGTATGTTTTTTGGTGTAGTGTGCAGTTCTTGGGCTTTGTAACATGAATAAGATTTGCCATGCCTGGAAACCTTATTTGATAAATGCATAAGCTGTCTAGAGGGAGCAGGGGAGAAGCAAGGACACAGCAGGGGAGTTGTTTAGGGAGGGCCGTCGCACACACAGCCCACCTTATGATTCAACTCATGTGCAGTGATGCCTGTAGACCCCTCACTCTTTCTGCAAACAAAAGCCTACTTTACGCAAACGGGAGAAGAGATGATAAAGCTTCTCCAACTTCATGCAGAAGGGGGCAGGGGAGTTAGTCCTTGCAGGATTCTTAATTAGCAAGACAAGGAAGCAGACTAAACCAGAGGGTAGATGATAGGCAACTGAAGGCACTGATGTGTCCCCAGACACTTTCCTTGGTACCTATCCAAGTATCCGGCTCCTCACCGTTTTTTAGAAGGTTTTTTTAGAAGTAACTCTTTTCTTACCAGCAGTTGGGATTGCTGAGAAATAGGTTTTTATTAGTGCTGAAAACTGGATTCAAAAGAGGAGTTTAGTATGTTCAGTGTCACCAAGGTGCCCCCTTGCTTCCTGGCACCTGTTTTTTGAAACCCACAGATTTTGGTATGAGTGTGTCTTCAGTCACTGGCTGTGTTGTGCCGCAGTTCGATGTAGAACTGCTGAGATGGAGTTTCATACCTGCCCTTGAGGTGCGCCAGGATTGTGCAGCTGGGGAGCAGAGGGCAAGATGGCGAATAGGGAAGTGGTGGGAGAACAGCTAGATGGCAGAGCATGGAGAGAGGAAGCCTGCTTCCTGCTTCCATGCTGAATCTCCACCACATAGTCCCTTTGGCTTAGAAAAAATGCTGGATGTTGGCGGGGGGTGGGTGGGTGCTTGTCCTCTTTTGGAGGCCTACCTTCTATCTGAGGGACAACCACAGGCTGCCTATTAGAAGGGCTCTGCTGTCCAGCTCCAGTTCTAAAATAAAGCATTAGAAAAAACTTTTGCCTGCCAACTGTTGGTACTTGAGGAACGGAGTGAAGAGGCGGACATACAGGCCAACTGGACACAGGCTTCCATGCTGTGGGGAGGTGCACTGTGCGTCTTTTTAAAATTACCAAGCATATTACGTTTGGATATAAATTGGCATATGTAAATATACAAATCACTCCCCCTTTTTGGCAACTGCAATATAAACATTGCTACGGAAGTGTGCTCTACCTCAGGGTCCAAAATTGGGCCCTTAAGATGCAGCATTTCTGGAGCAGATATACCTGTAGCAACAAAGGGTCCTTTGCTTCTCCTTTAGTTGCCCTGCTTGGTACTAAGACCCAAGAAGTGGTGAGTAGCTCTAAGCTAGAAGGATAAGGTGTTTTGTGATTAGTGCATGCAATTGGACGGTAGATCTGAGTGGGTGAGTGTGGAAGTCCCATTACGTTCTGTGCTATTCAGTAGGGTTCTGCCGATCTTCTTCAAGCTCAGATATATAGTTCTATTCTGGGATAGTTACTGGTAGCAGTTACTAGCTATGAGCTTTCCTAATGCTGGAAAATTAATTGGAATATGGGTGAATTCCACAAAGCAACTGTCTACTGTTTGGTTACAAGGGGGTGGAGAAGGTTCTAAGAACGATTAGGAAAGTGGCTAGATAAGTATTGTTAACTGACCTCCATCTCTGTTTGTATGATAAAGGTAAAAACAAATCAAATATAGTAGCCTGTTTTATCTCAGAATCTCCAAGCCTCAGTTGAAGTCCTCCCTAGCTTTAAGGAAGGGAGTGTATGCCAGGAGGGTTATTAAGTAAAACCTACTAAAGATAGAAATAAAGTAAGCGGCAAGATGAGGTTGCGTAATTTTCCCAAGTGCGAGAAATATGGAGCAATATCATAACAACCAGAGTAATTTATGTGCTGAAAGAGATTAACGAGAGCAAGAGTGCTGGATCATCTGCCACCCCAAATCTTTCATTCCGCAGAAGAGCATCCACCTCCATTAAAGTAACCTCCTTCCAGCTTCTACTGGCGATGTGATTTTGGTCTTTAATCAATATGTTAGAAATGTATCCAGTGCAAAGAGTTTGATGATTTTATGTTTGATGTTTATTGTAGGAGCTCTTGGATAGGAAACTTTTGTAGCCTCTCTACATTTTACATTTCACACTCTAAAGCAACCTTCCTCCACCTGGATCCCTCCAGATAATTTGGACTATAATTCCCAGCTTTTCACCATTGTACTATAATTCCTATCAACAAGTGTGGTCAGTTGTCAGGGATAATAGGAACTGCAGTTGAAAACATCTGGAAGGACCTGGGGTGGGGAGACTTTTCAAGAGGTTGACAGTTCCTTGTTCAGGTACAGATATATGAACCAGCAAATCTTGAGCTTGTCAAAATTCTCCAAATTCTCCTTCAAGGCTTGTTCCAACTCATGTCCCCATCATATTCAAGCTTTGATCTTTTCACAGAAAAAAATATGTATATTTTCACATGACAGCCAGTGTGGTGTAGTGGTTAAGAGCCTGGGACGGGGACTCAGACGATCTGGGTTCTAGTCCCCGCTCAGCCATGGAGCCAACTGGGGGACTTTGGGCCAGTCACAGACTCTCAGCCCAACCTACCTCACAGGGTTGTTGTTGTGGGGATAAGATGGAGGAGGAGAATGATGTAAGCTGCCTTGAGCCCTTTGTAGGAAAAAGGCAGGATATAAATTGAAAAATAAAAAAATAAAAGAAATAAATGTGTATATATTCCCATATGTTCACATCAATTTTGCACATTCAAGCACATTTTTCAAAAGCATGCATTTCCCCATACACAAATGCATTTTTGGGGGATGGGGGTCACAATGAAAGGTCAGCAATAGGCATATTCAAACCCACTTTCCAGTCTGAGAAGTGTGAACTGGATAACTTCTGGTCAAAATGAAACAGAACCGAATTTCTCCTATATCCAAAGTTTCAGGATAAGGAACTGCCCGGATTCCATGTCTCAGAAGTGATCTTTATGGGACAGGGGAACGTTACTGCATGTTACTTGGGGTGCACTACAGCAGCACCTGAGGGCCAATGAAATGTTGTAGTTAGTGGGGCAGAGAGAATCACTCCCTCCCAGTTCTTTTGCTCTGTCCTTCAGTGAAGTCTGCTTTGCCAGGGAGCTCTTCCAGCTTGACATGGAGTCTTGGTGTTTGTTTTGGTATTAAAAGCTCAACTGCATAGTTCATCCATTTCACTATCATATTCAATTCCTGAGGTTACAGAGCAGAGGTAAGGGCTGAGTTTCTTTATCTCCTGTTTACAAATGCCTGTGCGGTCCATATGCTGGTTATGTGGCTTTCCCACACACCTGTCTTCATCTCTTTCTTTGCCTCTCTTTTCTTACCATGTAGGACAGTCTGATTTCTTTCTTTGCATTAAACCTAGGGAAGGCATCACATTGCACAAGGACTGCATGCAGCTCCCAGGAGAAGGTTTTTGGCTGCATGTGCAGGGCTTACTGCTGCTGCAGCCACCAGATTTTCTTTGGGGAGCAGCCCACAGAGGGTTCAGGCAGATGCTGTAGCCCCGCAACCACCCCTGCAAGTAAATTGCCCACCCTTGCAATAGATTTTTAGCAAAAGTGGTCACTCGGTTGCTGCTGGAGCTGGGAATGATGATGATTAACAGACAGTTGATCATAGATATATAAATGTCTATCCGGGTGTTCTATCCGGGTGTTCGAGGATAGGCTGGACGTCCACATGGTGGGCATGTCGTGAGTGGAGCCAGCTGGTGCCGGAGGTCAGACTAGATGGCCTGGGAGACCCCTTCTGACTCGCTCTGTTTCTATGTTTCTATGTTTCTAAATCAGATCCCTTTTGCAGATCTAGGAGACTCTTGGCTTGATTAGTGTTAGGGTTTCTAGTTTCTACACCTCCAGGCTGTAGGGGGAAGGAAAAGTCCTGAACATGTCTGTGGTGCTTTTAGCTTTGAAAGCACAGGAAAACTAACTGGTGCTTACAGTGTTTTGAGGGTTACTTTTCTTAGCTCTACTGCTGCCGTTGCTGCTTTCTGCTTGTAGCCCCTCTTCTTCTGCAGTGCACTAGAGCTCAGTCTTCTTCGTGCAGGCCAGTCCTCCTCTGACTACTTCTTATGTTTCAAGTGCAGACAAGCAAGTCTGCCTAATTCATTGCTGGAATCCAGGGTTTGTTTTAGCACAGTATTCTAATGAGTTAGTAGCCTTTTTGAAATCTGATTCTGCCCTTTCTGTTCACAGATACCTGAAGTCTTGACTGCAATGAACCTGGATTTGCAAACCTGAAGACCCAACAAATACCTCCCATCTTAGTTGGGCCAGGTATCTCCCTAAGAAGAACTGGAGGTTTGTTGGGACACCTTGCCTTGGCACGGGAAGCAAGATATAACCCCTCTGATGCCTGGACATTTTCACAGAATGTTAATTTCTCCTTCCTGACTTCTCCCAACAGCCTGGATTCAGTCCCTAAGTACTGAATTAGCATCCTCTTAATTGACTGCCTGTTCTTTAACCAGGCCTCCTTTGCTGGTCGTTCCTTTTTAAAGGAGTGTGACTCCCAGTGGCATTTATCATCATTGGCAGAGGCTTTTTTAAAAACGTACTGTGGGATCTCTGAATATATTTTTGTTTGGGCTTTTTGTCCCCTTCCACCATTTCTCTGGAGTTTGTTGTGACTAGTTATTTCACCTGTGCGCACACACAGAGAGCATCCTGATGGCTTCCTAAATCTGAGGAGCAATTGCCATTCATGATGGGGCGAGAGCAGGAGCTGATCCAGGCTGTGAAAAATGGGGATGTACCTGGTGTGCAGAAACTGGTGGCTAAGGTCAAGGCATCAAAAAGCAGTGAGTATTTCCCTGCATCACAGTGCACTGATTTTTTGCGATTTGTCAACACCCACTGGTGAGGTTGTAAGAGTCTTGTGACTTCTGACAAACAGCTTTGGTGAATGCAGCAACCGGGATCATGGAATTTTGCTCCCAGGACAATAACTGTGGCCTGGTGCCCCCCAGATGTTAGGGACTTGCATGTCCTATGACTTCCGGCCAGCATGGCCCAATGGTCAGGAATTCTGAGAGTTTTTGGTCCAATGTATCTGGAGTGCATCAGGCTGAAGAAGCAGAGCTTCTTCTGGGTGGGCCCCATGAATGTGAGGCTTTAACCCAGTCCTAGGTCTGGAAAGGTTGCAACTGCAGGAGTGGGACACTTCTGTGGGTCTGCAGGGCAGCTAGGCATAAATACAGTGCAGACACAGTGCATTTGTGTGGAACATCTGGGATGTGCAGCTGCTGAGAATGTGGATTCTGGCAGTGCTGGAATTATTGATGTGTGCGGATTATTTGAACAGCTGTATTCTGTGAGCAGAGATCTCCCGTGTTCATCATTGTAGCTAATCTGCAAGAGGAAGAGATGGGTTTTGTTCATTCTACCTCTGCATTGATACAGATTTTATGAAATTCTAAAGTAAAGCAGCTGATGACTGTGAGCACATAGATTATGAGGGAGACTTTTGGAAAAAAGAAGCAGAAATTGATGCAGGGTATCCTTTTCTGGAAGAATAAATATATCTTCGATTCCTACTGATTTTGGGAGCTTCCAAGATTTGCATTTGGGGGCATTAATATTCGACAAGAAGCAGGCTTTCATTGGTTCCAGTACATGGATGGGAAATCATGAGCTCACCCTGACACAGATGTGGTCAAAATCAGCAGGCTGTCCAGTCCTCTTTAAAGATAAAGAACTAGAAGGGAGAGCAAAATCATGTCTACCCTCACTTGGTTGGTGATGCCTTTCCTCTTCTAGGGTGATGTCAATGGCTGGCTGCTTTGCCTTCCTGTGCCGTAGCCCTTGGTTGGAGCTCTGCCTGGCTGTTGCAGTGCTTTCCTTTATGAACTCTGGCTGGTTGCCACGCGTTATTGCCAGTCTTCTTCCTCGATGTGGCCGAGGAATATTTGCAGGCCTGCTGTCTATTCGCTCGCGGTTAGACTTGTGCTGCAGTGGAGGGCTGGTTTCACTGGTGCACCCCTGTTAAAGCGAACCCTTCTTGCCATTGGGGGCAGGTTTAATCCAAAGAGATGATTTGGGAAGAGTAAGAGCGGCTCAGGGTCATGTGCTCATTAATAGTAAACCACAGCTAGACTGAAGATTAAGAAAGCAAGGAGGAGATAAAGCGCCAGGGTTAAACTCTCCAAAGCTTCCTCTGATTGGGAAAAGGATGCGGGGAATTGGCCTAGCACTGGGCTTAAGGAGCAGATGCTTCTGCTGCCTCAGAGCTACATCCAGGGATGGCTTCTCTTTGCTCCTGGCACAAGGCGCCAATTCGTGTCTGGGTGTGCCCGTGGGGGCCATGGGATCAAAGGGGACAGACAGCTAAGGCTCTGCTGAATGGTTTTGTGGCAGATACGAAGGATTTGGGTGAGATTTTAAAATAATCTGCCAGGATAGAGATTGGCTGGTGGGGAGGAGCAGGATGAGAGTCTGCCAAAGCTCCTGAAGGTCAAAGTGTACGTGAAACTTCAGGAAGCATCTAGGCCCCTGCCTGCCCCATGCTGGGCATATGGGAGGGGAATGGATTGCTCCAGGGCTTGCCTTGCATGGCACCCTTTGGATAGTGGCCACTGCTGGCTGCAGGGTGCTGAGGGTAAAGTGATTGTGAGCCATTGCAGTAGCACTTGTAGGACAAAAAGAATAGCAGAGAATGTTAAATCCTCATGAATAAGGTATTTTAGAAAGAAGGAAATGCTTTGCTTCCAAAGTAAAAGGAAGCAAGTTGGGATAGTGGCCTGGCATTCCTGGAAAAGCTGAAATAAGTTTGGGTTAACCTTTAGGACCCAAGCCTAGTGGAAGAGGACTGTGTAAACCACCCTGGGTTCCCCCAAGAAAGAAAAGGGTAGGCTATAAAATGCAATATATAGAGTCAGTGTGGTACAGTGGTTAAGAGCACCGGAGTGGGACTCAGGCACTCTGGGTTTGAGTCCCCATGCAGCCATGGAGTCTTTGGGTCAGTCACAGATTCTCAAGCCAGCCTACCTTTCAGGGTTGTTGTTGTGGGAATAAGATTGAGAGCAGGAGGAGAAGGATGAAAGCTGCTTTGAGTTCTTTAAATAAAAAGGTGGTATTGAAATCTAATAAATAAATAAATCTAAAAATAAATAAAATAATAACAATAATAATGCTCACCAAGTGGCCCTTTATTGAGTGCCTGTAGTTTCCCTCAACTATTACTAACCTGGTGCTTACCAGATGTTTGAATGACAGATGTGTTTCTTTACTGCAAAGGTGATTTGTAGATCCAAGCAGCTGTAGTGTCACAGCTCCTTTCAGCCCTAGCCAGCATTGCCAGTGGCGAGGATGATGGAAGTTGTAGGCCAAAGCACAGAGAAATCCACAAGTTGTCTTCCCCCATTTAGCTGCAGCACTCTCATTCTGATAGGACAGTGCTGCTGCCCCACTGGTGGGGGGAGTTCAGCCCCCTCCCTTAGAAAAGGCTTCTGTTGCTAATCTCCTTCGATTCTCACTCCTCTCCAAAATGCCATGTAGGGAACAGAATGTTTGCTGCATTTTGCCACTCATTAAAGTGCCTCTTTCCATATGACAGGCTGAGATGCTGAGTTTTTTAAAATCCCTCTAAGAGTCCTGCTGTCTCAGTGGATTCAGAGCTGCGTCTCTCTGATTAGCCCTTGGGGATCGCATGTGTCTAAAAAAAGTTACTGCACGTAACCAAGAATCAGACGCCAGTCCCAGCAATGGGAACTTCGGGGACACGTAGTTTAATATTCAGCGGGCATATTCTCTGGCAGCGCATGCCTTGGAAAATGTAGCTCTGCAAATGGGTCACAGCACCTATTATTGCGTGGTCCTATGGCAACTCTGGGGAGGCAGAAGCGGGCAGTTTATTTAATCCTGCAGCCGAGCCAAGGGGCAGGGAAGTGGGAAGCCTTTCCTTACTTTTGATAACTCAGCCAGAGGGAATGGGGGCTTGGTTTTCAAAACCTTGCGCCTTCACCACCGGGAAAGCCCTTTTGACCCTGCCGAGTTGCCATAGGAGCTGTCACCCGCAGCAGCAGTAGCAGCAGCAGCAGCAGCAGCAGCGCGGATTCTCCCGTCAAAAAAAAAAACCAAACCACACACCTTCTATTTCGCCTCTGTCAGCGTTTGAATGCAGGAGACTTTAATTGAAATTGTTAAACGACCCGTCAGGGCTCTGGCCTTTCTCCCTGATGATCAATCACTTTCTCGGCTGGACGGCTTGCGAACAATGGGCCAGTTGGCTGGGCTGGGGTGAGCACAGAAGCCCCGGAGGAGAAGAGAAGAAAACGGGGCTGAGCCTCGGATTCCTGGGGGAGGCGGAGGAGGCCGCGGGTCCTGGGGCTATTGTCCCTTGAAAGGGATAATGTCTAGCGAGGCAGAGGGGGAAGGGAGAGCTCAGTTTGGCTGGCTCATAAGAGCGCGGGTCTTTCTGAATGCTCTCAAAGGTTTCCCTTGTTTTCGGAGAACAGTACCGTTCTTGAAATGTTCCCCAGACACCTAGTGGAGCTAGCGCATGGAAGTGCAATGACTTGTTCAGAGGGAAGGAGCCCACGGAAATGCTCGAGATTATGGGAAGGAAGACCTGGAATGTCTCTTAAGCTTATCTCTGTCTAAGTCGTCTCTGCTTCAGTGTTCATTGTACCCACCCCTGACACAAACTGCAGAACTTTTGCAGCCCCTTCATGTGGGTGATTTGCCCCTGAAAATACTGGCCGCTTTGCTGTGTTTTCTTTGGTTTGCCACACAAGGTAGATATTAAGTCCCAGCATAGATGGTTGGGACATACTGGATGTTGTAGACCCTGTTTCTGTCTAAACTTGTGCCCTTAGTGGCACTAATCCTACAATGGATCATGGAGAAGCAGAGAGAAAAAGTGTAACCACCTGGAGATTTTCTGTGGATCAGGTATGAGAATGCCCAGAAGTTTGTCGGGTTATCATTCCTCAATGCAAAACTAGAAGAGTGATCAGAGAAAACATTATCTATCATGCTTTACATCTATTTATATTCAGTCTGAATATTTTATATTAATGATGGTGGGATTTTGACATTTACTGAGGATTCAGACAAAAGCCAATAGTGATATTTGTATGTGCTGTCAGGATGAAAAATCAAACATGTAGCATGAATAGATTTAATATCTAGGCAATACCAACCGCCCTGATTTTTAAGATGATATTTTTTGATAGCTTTGGGGCCAAAACAGTGCAAGGGCAAGCCCTTCTGATAGAAGCAGGGTTGAAAGTTGAGATCATTGCTGGTTTTGTGCTGCAGTTGCTGTGCAAACCCTGTGGATCTTGTTAGTCCACATGGACTAGTGATTGTATCATCATCATTCTCATCCTCATCATCATCAGTTTTATTTCTATACCATCCCATAGCCAATGTTCTCTGGACAGTTTATAACAGTATATAAAACAATACAATAAAATAGCACAAAGTACTTATTTTGTGTAGTACCATAAATTAGATGTAGGTTTCATCAATTCCATTCCAAGATGAGGCTTATGCTGCACTGGCCATCAGGAGACCCATCCAGAACAGCACTCCAGATGTGTTGGATTAGAAGCCCCGTCACACCCAGCTGTCATGGCTATTGATGGGAGTTGCAATCCAGTACTTCTGGAAGCACCAGGCTGGGGTAGCACCGTAGTTTACTACATGTTAAGAGGAATCTGCTATCCATCAGGGGAGGCACCCCTAGTAAGGAGGGGGATGGGGGAATGTGCTTTAGCAGAAAGTATGGTTCTAAATTCCAAAGTTCTCAGATATTTCAATCAGTGTTGCTTTGGCAGCAAGTGAGGCTTCTGAGTGA